GGAATCTTACCTTAGGTCTATTCAATAGTACGAAGAAAACTAACAGCACCAATCGCACTCTAAGCCATTGCCAACGACAGACCTGAGAATAAAATTACGCGTTACTGATTCAAAACCGGATATTTCCAAAAACAACGGGGAGACCTAAGTTCTTCGTCTTCCCGTACGCACGCCCATCAGCATATGGTGCGTAATGAACAAGCTTCTTCGGACTAGGCATCGTGTACTCCATTTAAGTAGTCCCCCAACTTGGTAACGACTGTGGTACAATGATACAGTGAGCAGATATCTCGAACTCGGCCTAACAACCCGATTAAACAGTTATCTCACAGATGAATCAAATAACAGATTCTTGGATAGCCCTTCAAAGGGTTGGAGTCCGTAGGCTCTTACCGACGCAAACACACACACACACATATATATATATATATATATATAACAATTATTGTCCTTATTCACTGAAAGTTATCTTGACTGTGTTTGTTCTACATTTGAGATCTCACACAGGAAAGTTTGTTTTCAAAGCACTGACTTCCGTCCGGTGCCATATCCCACAGTGTCTCCAGTCAAAGACAATCTGAATCTTTTGGGCCCCGGCNAGCCTCGAGGGAAACCAAAACCTCTCCAGCCCCTCACGCCACGTCACAGCCTGCTCACCTCGCTATTTGTTCCAACCCGAAACACTAGCTGCAAATAGCTCACAGTATGGCAGGCGATGCTCACGCATTCGTAGGACGTGCCTCAGCCACCTAAGACGATGCAGTTAAATGGTTTAGCTCACTGGAAAACTATCTGACCCTAACACACGTCGTCTGACCTCATCGTTATTCACGCCATGCTTCCACCATAAGGGGGTGATGTCAAAGACAGATAGTCGTTGGTCATAACCTGCTCGGATAGACTAGGTTTCGTGGCGATGAAGAAACACGGTGCGCAGCGTTCCGCATTACACACGCCCTTTCATTGAAAGGGATATGTCACGCCGGCGCTAGAAACACCGCAGATTAACCAACGCTTTGATAACGCATTGAGAGAACTCCTCGCGAACACCTTTCCGGTCGTTATGCGACTCCCGGGGTATCCAAGGCTCACGACTACTTCTAGTGTAATTATCCACCGAATCTTGCGACAACACCTTTCACTTTGAAGGTGCAAAAAACAAATCGTAAACCACTACCTCACTTTCCACACGATTCAGCTAGTATTGAATCGTTGTCACCAAGTAGGGCAATGACGTCGGTGTCTCCAAGTCCACAACTCTGCCTCCAGGAAGGAGCTCGACGCAAGCGTTCGTTAGGTTGTGACACTTTTTGTAGAACATCTGCGGCGAATTTGAAGCGAAACGGAGAGACGGTGACCTAGTCGTACTCCACTGGTCACAGGAAATCAGGGTGAGCGTTCACCATACGCCCTAACCTTTCCCAAGGCGAGACACTTCCCGTATCTGTGCAAGAGGTTCCACATAGTAGAAAGATCGATGGATTCGAATACCGCTTTGATGTCCGAAAACACAACAACAGTCTGTATCTTGTGTGTAGTGTTCCAGCATCTGACGAAGGATAAAGATTTCATCAATGCAACCACGGCCCGCAGGGAACACAGACTGGCCTCCGCTGATTTGTTTTTCACCGAGACTACTGAACTTATCACAACCGACATACAAACTTCAAATCTGCCGAACAACTATTTGAACAATTAACCTTGTCTTAGATGCTCATTCGGTGGAGTCCGGTGAATTCTAAGGAAAACCTGTCGAGGCAGTCAGCTTACATGCTAACTGGTGGATGCCACATGCCTCTGTAAGTTGGATGGGTAAATTCGAATGCGAAAAATGAATTTAATTTGCGTAGTAAAACGGACGCTGACAGCTTCGGCTTTATTGGAATCCAACTTATGCCCCTGTGGTTGAAACAGGCATTGCGAGGGCCCCTTTTTGTATGGGTGTAGCAATCGATTCCCCCCATGCATGGAATACAGTCTCGACTTTCCAGATACCCTAGGACACTCTAACAAGTTCTCTCACGAGAGCTTCACCACTATTTTCAAAGAGAGCCGATGATAGGTTGAGACTCAGACGCCGGTCGGGTCGGAAAGTTTGGCAAAATCAAGCTGTTTCCATCTGTTTTTGCATCCACCAAATCACATAGACAAGTTGGCACAAACCAGTGCGCGGTCGGAGTCCACGTGGGTAATGCTTTCTACCGTTCATACTGGTAGGAATTTGTTACGATAATCCAAAAATGAAACCCACAGTACGTCTGACAATGGACGCCAGAAGACCACTCAGCTAATCGAAAGCGTTCGGGACATGATTACGTTGTTGGCAAACCGAAGACATTCGAGCAAATAGTGGCAAAGTTACAACAGAATAATGACAGACAAGCAGTGCACTATCGATGAATCACGGTTTGTGAAATCGAATGCCAGTACTCAATCGTCAAAGTCGAGCAAGGTAGTCTGCGTATTATCTACTCGTAATGATCGATGAGCTGTTTATTGACACGCATGGGGGGACCCACAATGACCAAACTAGCTCGTTCGATGTCTTAGGATCCGTTACAGTAAAAGTGCTGCAAGGTAAAACTCATATTTATGAATAGTTTGCACCAACAAGGAAAAGGTTGTTGGATTACCGCAGCATCCGCGAGTGGATTCAAGGATTTAACATTGCAACTACAGAAGAAACAGACTGTTCAGTTGGCGATCACTGATGAAGAGATGGTCACGAAAATACCAACCAATTGTTGCGAATTAGATTTTTCGGTTTATGTTATTTATCCTATCCGATTATGTCCTCCATATAAATTACGCCTTTCAAGCCGGCACTGGGCTTTTGGAATTATAATACTAGCATTGAGATCTCATAGTGAAACCTGTCGGCTACAATCGTTAGGAAGAAAAGAAACACTTACTGTTCGCCACAATTTGCATTTGGTTTATTGTGCTAATTATGCGACGTAAAATGATAACTATAGAATGTCTTGACAACCGACTGATTGACATTGGCATAATAATTATGCTGCAGACGCGACTGCTGCGAGTCTATGTGTCTACGTGCGTGATGAGGGAACCACTATTAGCCAGAATGGTCTCGGTCTGACCGCCACACAAACGACTGCGGAACGTCTTCAATCAACTGATTAGCTGAGTGATCTGCAGGCGTCCATTCTCCGACGTATTGAAATTCTCCGTGGCAAGGGTCATACGACAGTTCTTGAAAATCCATAACTCACAAAGGAAGTGAATCTCCCACCTGAAATAGGAGTTTGCTGAGTCGTCATCACCCTATGACTACATTTGATCGTGCGACCTGATTTCCGGGATTCCACCATAACGGAAAACTTTGAGTATTTGGGCTTATATTACAATCCAAGTTAGCTGGAGAGGCCGATTATGTGGAAACGCCGTCAAAACACAGCTTGCGCGGCTTTGCGTAACGGCATCACCTGGTGATACGGAGGAATAATGTGATGTGACTCAATATCCTGGGCGGATACTCCTGTGGGCCCAAAGTCAATGCCGCTAAACGTGCGTAGTTGTTATACGATGTGACCTTGATGGATTAAGCGAAAAATATGCTTCGTTTCTACCACACACGCAGATCTTTCTCAGGTACCGGTGACTGAGACTAAACTGGAAATGAGACCCTGACAAACCAAGCGCAACCACAACTCCAATTAGATCTCGAGAAGCAGTCAGAATATCGTACGTTACATAAAGGCAACCGAGAAAAGAGTGAAATAATCGAGCCGGATAGAAATCGTTAGTACGATTTTTACACACGATTTACACGCACGTACACAAATAAACAAGGTGATACAAAAAGTGACTGAACCCCATGGGATTGCACTTAACTAGATTGGACCGAGATGAAAGCCAAGCGCAGAGGGAACAATCAAACCTATGAAAAATATCTAGCTTAATAATGATGGAGTATGAACTCGAAAATCGTCCGGAGACGAGGAACAATGAAGAGAATTGTGACGATGGAGGAGACCCACGTTGACACAGAAAAAAGTAAGAACACTAAGCGTAGGGCAGCGGTCTGATAAAAATCGAAAGGGTATTTGTTTGGCGCAGGTAAAATGAACATTTACAACGGTAAGAGCAGTGACAGCAATGGGATCGTCGGGACATAGGCTGCTCCTTTACGTGCAGTACGGCGCAAACAGAAAGGTAAGTAATGAAAAAAATTAGGCAAAATGAATATGGAATGAAACAATGCATGTGGGACTGTAGTGTGAGGGCGAGACAATGATGCACCATAGTAGAAACATTGGGATCAATGCGAAATTATCGATATCGGTGCATACAGAGACAAAAAAATAAACTTAAAGGAGACCAGACGGACAAGTGCGGACGCAGTAATTTGTCAGGCAAGTTTCACAGTGATGATCTAACGAAAGAGCAAACAGTAATACTTTGATACTTGAATAAACGAAAGGGGATTCTAATGGATAAACAAAAGGTGAACAATTCGCCTAATATCAGCCAAAAATTTGTTCATGAATTCATCAGCGGAACGACCAACAAGTTACTGGATGAATAGACAAGCGGTACAGAGAAGGAATACAAAAGCACATTAAATCCGAAGGAAATGAGTTAGGTGGCGCTTGATCATACGAGGTAGGCGAAGTGTGTGTGTCAGTGTATTAGCGGGAATATCACTTGTATCTGTTTAGGACTCGAACGGACTCCGATTCTCATAATGATGAAGAAATAGCTGCATGACGGGATTGTGATAGATAAATAGAGAAAACTATAAGGAAAAACGGGAGGGGCATCTGTGAAACTCAGAAAAAAAATCAATTCTTCGCAGAGAGAGCGAAGGCCATATTTGCTGAAAAATTTGCAAGCGAATAACTTAACGACTGGGGTGCGAAACCGGGGTTGCATTATTACTCGCATACCGGTAGATAAACAGGTAGATGAGAATGTAGGTAGATAGGTAGTGAGGCAAGTGACAGTTTTCGGGGATCCCCTGACCATAAGGTAAAAGATTAGCCCAACAGTTGTGTTTCAGTGGTCTCATCTGTTACGTAGTTCGCTAGTTGTGGATTTGTCAACAGCTGGTAGTCATTGGGCGTCATTGAAATGCCCAGTTTGCTTGCGACGTCTTGGAAATGGGATGGCTGCATTTGACCGGAATCGAGTAAAGAAACCGTAGAGCAGTAATAGTTGCTTGATTCATCCGCAGGAATTGGTGAACAAGAATGTACCGAGGACTAGGAAAGAAAAAGTAATAGTAATAGGGATAGGAATTGAGTTCATATACATAAATGATAACTTTATCGTAGCGACCAACCATTTTACGGCAGTACTATTTGTTCAGTTTCTTTTAAAAATGAATACAACATTTGATTTTAGCAGTCCAGGGAAGTATTTATTTTAAATAGGAAAGTGATTAGACAGTGCTTTGTCGCGGGATATCAACGTATCACACAAAAAATACTAAAATTTAGGAAATATTGGACGGCTGCTTAAATGCGGTGATTATGCGTCAGCAGTTTGCATTCTACGAGCTTGTGACGGGTCAAGCTACCCGGCAGGCTAATATGTTGCTCAGTAAACCGCCAGTAGTTAATAGAAGAGTTAGCTAAAAGCTGATATCAAACCAGTCAATAGATGTATGAACCGCGCACAGACATACCTTCCAACTTGTGATAGTGGCCACCGGCTCGATTGGGCATCGAGATGCATTAGGTACCACACGATGCATGATTCGACGAACTGGACACCGGTCTCCTAAAGATTACGGTTTCTTCAGGCCTTCGAGTCAAGCCCTGCCTAACTGAAAGCCCCGACTGTGAATCCTTCCTCAACCTCCCTCAAAATTACATGCGTTGCACTGAGCAGTTTGACAGTGTCTCACTCACAATCAAATCATGTTATAAATAAAGTTTGTTTTGAAAAATCTGAAGTCAGACGCATATGAAATATAATAATATACACCCCAGAGTGTCAGACAGCCCTCTAAGTATGAAACAAGGACAAGTTCATGTTAAGTGGAGATTGTGTTGGAGTGTCGTTTGAATTGATCATTTGTTCTAATGCATCAATTGTGTTTTTATGATTGGTCCATGTAAGACTTCAATTTTGCCCGTTGAACAATCTGATTGGTTCAGCGTTATATATAAACGCCTGTGATTCGTGTCCAGTGGACTAGACAAAATATATTGAGAGCATTTCCTGAAGAACTGAATTTTGACAGAGAGCAGTTAAATTATGATACGCAACTACTGACTAGTGATGACCCTTATATAAATTAAATTAAAACGAAGTCCACGACGCAGTGAGCGCAGATTACGTTGCTTCAATAGACCGAAAGTGCTTTATGAACCAACCCAGTACACACATTGCGCAATGGATAGATTTTCTCACTATTATTTCCTTTGTTTTGCAGTAAGTCACAGAAAATCTGTTATTAACATCACAGATGGGACGGACGAACGTGTCACGGATTTGCGCAGGAACAGAATATATTTTTCATGTCAAGCAGAGGATGATGGACGAATTCGGTCTATCTAGTAACAGCAAAGTGAGATCAATCAAGAGTGGCCAATGCCAACTAAAGAACAGTGGTCAACGAGAGAAAATATTACCTTGAGCAGATTTGAACCGGTTATTGTAGCAGTATCACCTTTTGATCTGTCCGAAGATAACGGAGAATCCGTCCGCGGAACACTCAGAGCAGACAGAACTTCGGCAGTCATCGTACAGCTATCACGTCGACCGGCTAAAAAACACAAAAGAATTACTAACACCACAAAACGAGCAAAAAGGTGACTAATGAGTATAATTGAACGAATAAATCGCTTTGATAAACAAGTTATGCACAACTCAACTACGCAAGTAAACATTAAAGACGGAGAGTCTACCTTAATATGGTTTGATGACATGTGCACTTTTGTGGC